CTAAATCAACATTTTGATTCACTCCATTTCAGTTTCCTGCTAAAACCCTGAAAATAATACAATGAGGTGAAACTGTAGAACGATATTGGACATTGCCTGAAACTTTTAGGGGTTATGGTAGAAAATAGCATAGACAATAGCTCAGTGTAGCAGAGTGCTGTCACCTGAGAGAATTGAAGACCTACCCCATGTGTATCACAAAAGATCAACCTCAAAAACCTCATGGGGGGTGGGGGAGGAGAGCGGTGCGTGACCAAGTGGTTAAGATGCACATGTCCCACATGGAAGCATCTGGATTCAACACTCACCTCCTGACTCCAGCATTCTTGTTTAATGCAGATTCTGGGAAGCATAAGTGATGGGCCATGCAGTTGGGTTCCTGGCCCCACATGGGAGACCTGGCTTTGGTCCAAGTGGTCATTATAGACATTTTGGGGAGTGAATCAATGAATATTATTCTCCCTCTCCCCTCTCACAATCTCCCCTCTCCCCTCTCCCCTCTCCCCTCTCCCTCTCCCTTGCTACTCAATTAAAATTATTTATTTATTTGAAAGTCAGAGAAAGAGAGAGAGAGACAGAGACATAGAGAGAGAGAGAATCTTCCATTTGCTGGTTCACTCCTTATATGCCCACAACTTCTAGTACTGTGCCAGGCTGAAGACAGGAGCCAGGAGCCAGAAGCTTCTTCCAGGTTTTCCATGTGGGTAGCAGGGGCACAAACACTTGGACCATCTTCTGCTACTCTTCCCAGGCCATTAGCAGGGAGCTGCATTAGAAGTTGAACAACCGGGACATGAACCGGCACCCACATGGAATGTCAGCATCATAGGTGGTGGCTTTATCTGCTATGCCACAGTGCCAGCCCTGTGTCAAGATTTTTTTTTTTTATTTGACAGGTAGAGTTATAGACAGTGAGAGAGAGAGAGACAGAGAGAAAGGTCTTCCCTCCGTTGGTTCACTTCCCAAATGGCTGCCACGGCCGGAGCTGTGCAGATCCGAAGCCAGGAGCCAGGTGCCTCCTCCTGGTCTCCCATGTGGATGCAGGGGCCCAAGCACTTGGACCATTCTCCAGTGCCCTCCCGGGCCACAGCAGAGAGCTGGCCTGGAAGAGGAGCAACCAGGACTAGAACCCGGCGCCCACATGGGATGCCAGTACCGCAGGTGGAGGATTAATCAAGTGAGCCACGGCGCTGGCCCCGTGGCAAGATCTTTCAAAACTGGAAAGCACAATTCTATTGTCATGGACAGATGCCTTCCCTGTGGCTTGTTTATTTTCTAGATGGCTTTCTCTCTCATTTATTCAAACCGCAGTCTTTAATTTTATGAAGTAATAATTAGCAGAATATGTTTCTCTTGCTGAATGTAATTTTGTAAAACTTCATACTGATCCCTGTATAGCCCCAGTCAAAGCTATGGGCCGGTGCCACGGCTCACTTGGCTAATCCTCCACCTGCGGCACCAGCACCCCAGGTTCTAGCCCCGGTTGGGGAGCCGGATTCTATTCCGGTTGCTCCTCTTCCAGTCCAGTTCTCTGCTGTGGCCCGGGAGGGCAGTGGAGGAAGGCCCAAGTGCTTGGGCCCTGCGCCCACATGGGAGACCAGGGGGAGGCGCCTGGCTCCTGGCTTTGGATCTGTGCAGCGCAGGCCGCTGCGCTGGCCATAGTGGCCATTTGAGGGGTGAACCAACGGAGGGAGGACCTTTCTCTCTGTCTCTCTTTCTCTAACTCTGCCTGTCAAAAAATAAATAAATAAATAAAGCTATGACATAATCTCTTAGTGCCTGTTAAATAAAAATGTAAATTTGAATTATACCATCTTTGGCAATTACGGAGCAATTATTTTAAAAAAAGAGTTCATTTAAATGTATCAAATTTTCTTTCTTCTTAAAAGTTTTATTTATTTATTTATTATTATTTATTTTGAGAGTCACAGTTACAGAGAGAGGGGTAGAGACAGACAGAGAGGATCTTCCATCTGCAGGCTTACTCCCCAGCTGGCCACAACAGCCAGGGCTGGGCCCGGCTGAAGCCAGGAGCCAACAATTTCTTCAGGTCTCCCATGTGGGTGGCAGGGGCTCAGACACCTGGACCATTCTCTGCTGCTTTTCCTAGGCCATTAGCATGGAGCTGGGTCAGAAGTGGAGCAGCCAGGACACCAACCAATGCCCTTATGCTATGCCAGCACTGCAGGCAGCGGCTTTACCCCCGATGCCATGTATTGTTACAATACCTTCTGACTAGCATAGTGTTACAGTATTCATTTTACTGCATTCTGGACATGAATGACTTTCAAAGCTTGAAAACAAACGTCGGGACCTCTGTTATGGCATAGCAGGTAAATAGTTCAACAGTTCATGTGTTGGAAACTTAATCCCCAATACAACAGTATTAGCAGGTAGTACCTTTAAGAAGTGATTAGGTTATGAGTTATCTGCCACCACGAATGGACTCAGAACATCACTACAGAGTTCTTGATAAAGGATGCATTCGGTCCCTTCACTCCTGCCCGGTAGACACTTACCCTTCTACATTCTGCCACAGGATGACTTAGCAAGAAAGCCCTTATCACATATTAACCCTCTGATTTTAGATTTTGTGGCCTCTAAAACTACTGCCTAGGACTGGCACTGTGGCATAGCGGGTAAAGATGTTGCCTGCAACCCCTATGAGTGTTGGTTTTAGTGCTGGCTGCTCCACTTCTGATCCAGCTCCCTGCTAGGGGCCTGAGAAAAGCAGTGGAAGATGGCCCAAGTGCTTGGGCCTCTGCATCCGTGTTGGAGACCCAGAAGAAGCTCCTGGCTCCTGGCTTCAGCCTGGCCCAGCCCCTGCCGTTGTAGCCGTTTGGGGAGTGAACCAGCTCTCTCTCTCTCTCTCTCTCAAACTCTTTCAACTAACTAGATAAAATCTTAAATAAAATTCAACAATCTACAAATTAGGAAAGAGGAATAAAATCTAAAAAATGCTTCTAGCAACACATGGGAAAACTGTTAAAAGTATTTATTTCTTTACTTGAAAGGCAGAGTTACAGAGACAGAGGAAGACACACACACAGAGAGCGAGGTCTTCCACCTGAAAGCTCAGTCCCCAAACAGCCGCATCAGCTGGAGATAGGCCCATCCAAGGCCAAGAGTCAGGAGCTTCTTCCTGTCTCCCACAGTGCAGGGGCCCAACCACGTGGGCATCTTTAGCTGCTTTCCCAGGCCATTAGCAGGGAGCTGCATTGGAAGTGGAGCAGCTGGGACAGGAACAAGTGCCCATATGGGATGCCAGCCCTGCAGGCAGTGGCTTCACTATCTGTGGAAAATGTTCATAATAAAAGAAACTTTTGTATTTAGAGGTGGGGAATGTGTGTTATTTCCAACCCTCTGAGCTCCTTTACTGAGAATCTTCTGTATTTATCGTGTCTATTTTAGACTTTTTAGGAAAAGAGGAGTAGACATAGGAAAAGTGAAGACCTTTTCTTTTCCTGGTATGTATGTGGTGGTGGTGGTGAGTGATGACTTGTAATAAGTTAGTGTGTTTTTGCCCAATTAGTTTTTTGCAATTCTAAGGATTTTTTTTTTTTTGACAGGCAGAGTTCGACAGTGAGAGTGAGATACAGAGAGAAAGGTCTTCCTTTTCCGTTGGTTCATTCCCCAAATGGCCGTCACGGCCGGTGCGCTGCAGCCGATCCGAAGCCAGGAGCCAGGTGTTTCTCCTGGTCTCCCATGCAGGTGCAGGGCCCAAGCACTTGCGCCATTCTCCGCTGCCTTCCTGGGCTACAGCAGAGAGCAGGACTGGAAGACGAGCAACCGGGACAGAATCCAGTGCCCCAACCGGGACTAGAACCCGGGGTGCCGGCGCTGCAGGTGGAGGATTAGCCTAGTGAGCCGTGGCGCCGGCAGGATGTTTTTAAAATTAAAGATTTATTTTATTTCGTGGGAAGGCAGAATTCTTCACCTGCTTTCCCAGGCGCATTAGCAAGGAGCTGGAACGGAGGTGGAGCAGCTGGGACTGGAACTTAGGCTCATGCCCCAGGGGGCTGCTGCACCAGCTGTGCCAGGACATGGCCCCGTCACTTACTTTCACAGACCACTAAAATCTCTTCAAGGAGAATTCCCACTGAGCAGCATTATGTCACAGAAAGCCTCCCAGGGATGCTGGGAGATTGTAGATAAGAAGTGTGGGACTGAAGCCCAGGGCTGTGTGTCTTGCCTAATTCCACTTGTCTCGCTCTCCCTGGAAATTTCCGACTGCACCCAGAGCTTTCTCCTTATGGACCTGGCTCTCTCTAACCACAGGACTGACTTGCGATCCCAAGAAAGAAAAAGCCCCACCTGCAAAGAGGAGGGTAGGCTGGAAGAATTCGTCCAGGGAAAAGAAAGGAGGCACAGCGGTGAATAACTGTCAGTTCCTCTTCTTTTCTCTGCTCCCTCCGCAACGCTTTAAAAAATTGCCATTTTTTTCTCAGGTCCAGGAAGGAAGCAGCTGGAATAAGGCGAAGTGGCTGGCCAGGGCTGCAGCAGGCGCCAGTTGCCGCCACCTTAGGAGTTGAGGAAGTGGCTGAGGCTGCACTCCAGTCGCCGCGGTAGCGCTCGCGGGGCAGGTGGCAACGCTGAGCGCGATGGGGCTCCCCCCTCCGCGGTCACCCACTGACAGCGAGCTCAGAGCCACAGAAGCTACTGGAGCAGAGCTGGCGAAGTGGAGGTGACCAGCCAGTGGGACCGGACAAAGGCGTGGACGCCCAGCAGTGGCGTGTCCTGGAGAGTTTGCTCGCCCACGACGTTGCCCGTGCCTGCTGCAGTGGGCACAAAAGACCGAATTGACCTACGGGGATTCCAGGGACAAGGAGCCTCCCGGAGAGGAGGAGCCCAGGCTTGTGCAGGTGAGGTCTGCGGGTTCCCGCAGCGCAGGGCCGGCGGCACCCCGGGCACAGGGGTGGCGGCGGCAAGGGTCACGACGGGCTGCTGGGGCTTCTTCAGAACAGGGGTGGGGATGCTGAGTCACGGATCTGTCACTGTTTAGCACCTCTCCTCGGCCCTCCAGGGGCCAAAAAGCAAAAGCGAAAGCGAATGCATCTGGCCGGGCGGCCGGTCCCGGAGTTGCACTCTCCACCTCGCTTGGGCCTGGGCATCGCACGCGCCGCTGGCCCTTGTCGTCCCGGAGGGGCACTGTCTAGCCTGCTGCCATGGCCCGGAGACGGCTCCGCTCCTTCTCGGCCCACGCCTTCCTTGCGCTGCTGCTCCCGCCAGCGGTGACACTGGGTAAGGAACAGTGCGCCAGGGCGGAGCCGCGGGAGGGGTCCCAAGCACAGAGCCGGACGGCACCAGGGGTCCCATGGCCCTGGGTCAGACCCGGAGGGAGTCCCGGGAGGAACTCGGTGAGCGCCGGCACACACGGGGAAGGGACGCGGCGTCCAGCAGGAGGCTCAGGTGAGGCCAGCCGCGCCAAGGGGCCGCTAAGCGCGCCCCCGACTGCTCCCGGCTCTCGCGGCTCCTAGGTCATCCACCGAACGGAGCTGAGCGGTCAGGCTTGGGTTCCAAGGTCAAAGGAAGAAAACGGTTTTGTATGGCCAAGGGGGCGGCGTATGGGGAGGCGCTTGAGTGCGCGCCGGGCGCCCGTCCCACCTGGACAGCTGGGTGGGAGTTGCACGGCACGCGGTTCCCCGAAAGGGTCCGGGGAAAATAACTTCTGGAGTCTGTCAGGCACAGATACGTGATATGGGTGTGCAGCTGGAAGGACAGGTAGGACTGCATCCTTTGGGAGGAAAAAACGTGTCGAACAAGTTGCACACCCGGAGACCCGGGAATAACTCCCAGTTCTTGAGTGAGCAAAGCAGGAAAGCGGGAGGCAGCCCGGGGACGGTGGCGACAGCCTGGAGGCTGCACTGGCAGAGAAGTGGGGACGAAAGGAAGCTGGTGATTGCTCCGAGTAATCAAAACCTCGGGCAGGTAGATCTAATCTCAGCAGGAACAATGAATGAGTGACTTGGAAAAAAATTTTTGGGCGGGGGGGGGGGTGGTGAGTGCAGCTAGTTGGGAGAGGACGAAAGATCAGTCTAACTGGATTCCTGGATCCTTGCCGGAGCTCCCTCAGGGTCTCATGAAAGCTATGAACTCTTTACCCAGAAAAGTACAGGAATGCATGCTAACTCAGAAAATGTGCATATGAGTTTGGCATCACGGACCCATTGAAGACCAACCATGACAGTTGGTAACTCCATGATTTGTGTGTATTTGTTTTAAGCAAGTTGCAAATACGGTTAGCCGGTCTGGGCAGAGCTGTCCCACCTCCCCACTTGCTGCTGCCTGGCTTGGTCTGATGCCTTAGCACTGGAGTGCGCGTGAAGTTTCATGTTTGCAGGACTGTGAGCTCTTGGTGCCCTCCCCCATCCGAAGCTGAGTTTCCTTGGTGATCTGGTCATTTCCTCCCAGCTGGCCAGCCAGTGTCTCCCTTGCAAGTAACAGCCTGGGGCAGGGCAACTCTTAACACAATGTGAAAGTGAAATGCAACTGTGGTCAGAACCCAGCAAAACTTAAAGTAATCAAGAGACACTGCAGAAAGACCTCTGTAGATAATCAACCACATATAGCCTTTGCTCTTTGACCTTGCAAAAACCTTGCAGCTGTGTTAAGATCTGTTGTCACTGCAATCAAGGGAGCAAATGCATTCTTTATGACCAAAAGTTTCCTAAAGCTTTGCATAATCCCTGCCTCCCACCCCACCCTGTCCCCAGGCAAGGACTTAACTGTTTTCTGTCAATATTGATTTGTTGTGCTTTCTAGAATTTTAATACAGTGTGGATTCTCTGTTGTTTGGCTTCTCTCCCTTGTAGTAATCATTCTGAGAATTCATCAATAGTTCATTTCTAAGGCTGAGTAGTACTCTATTTTTTAAAAATAAAGATTGTAGGCCAGCGCCACAGCTCACTAGGCGCAGGCACACCGGTTCTAATCCCAGTAGGGGCGCCAGATTCTGTCCCTGTTGCCCCTCTTCCAGTCCAGCTCTTTGCTGTGGCCCGGGAGTGCAGTGGAGGATGGCCCAAGTGCTTGGGCCCTGCATCCCATGGGAGACCAGGAGAAGCACCTGGCTCCTGGCTTCGGATCAGCCACAGCGGCCGTTGGAGGGTGAACCAACGGAAAAGGAAGACCTTTCTCTCTCTCTCTCTCTCTGTCCACTCTGCCTGTCAAAAATTAAAAAAAAAAATAAAGATTGTATTTATTTGTTTGAGATGCAGAGTTACAGACAGAGAGAGGGAGAGACAGAGAGAGGTGTCTTCCATCTGCTGGTTCACTCCCCAAATGGCCGCAATGGCTGGAGCTGTGCCGATCCGAAGTCTGGAGCCAGGAGCTTCTTCTGGGTCTCTCACATGGGTGCAGGGGCCCAAGCACTTTGGCCATCCTCTGCTGCCTTCCCAAGCACATCAGCATGGAGCTGGATGGAAAGTGGAGATGCCAGGCCCTGATCTGGTGCCCATATGGGATATGGGATGCCGGCGCTGCAGGCTGGGGCTTCGACCCGTTGCGCCACAGTGCTGGCCCCGAGTAGTGTTCTGTTGCATGGCTATCCCACCATTTACCCCTATGCTTGTCAACAGACACTTGGGGCTATTGTGGGCAGTCACATGCATATAGGTTTTTATGTGTGCATCTGTTTTCCTTTCTCTTGGGTAGAAAACAGCTAGGAGAGAAGTTGCTGAGTCATATGGTTTGGTATGTGTTTCACATTTTAAGTAACTGCTAAGCCATTTTCCAAAGTGGTTGTAGTATTTTACGTTTCCGCCAGTGGCGGTGGAGAGTTCCAGGTCCTCTATAGCCTCAGCAACACTTGGTGGTGAGTCTTTTTAATTTTCCTCGTTCCAATAGGGACATGGTGGTTCACTCCCCAAATGACTGCCAACAACCAGAAATCGTTCAGGCCCTACTGAGGAGCCAGGAGCTTCATCCAGGTCTCACATGTGGGTGCAAGGGCCCAAGTACTTGGGCTGTTTTCCACTGCTTTTCCAGGTGCTTTAGCAGGGAGTTGGATTGGAATTAGAGCGGCAGGGACTCAACCAGCGCCCTTGTGGGACGCTTATATGGCAGGCAGCGGCTTTCCCACTATGCCACAATGCTAGCCCCGCATTTGTTTTTAAGAGATTATCCATATGACTTGTTTTTACACCATTTGAACATCACTTGTCTTTGTGTGTATGGGTTAGTTGCAGGATGCAAGGCATCAATACACGAAAACCAATTGTGTTTCTATACATTTGCAATAAAAGTTTGGAAATTGAAACAGTAGTAGCATTGAAAAGCATTAAGTTCTCAAGGATAAATCTGCAGGCGATTTGGTCAAAAACTCCCAGAGAAGACCGTAATTTTTCCGAAGATGAATATCATGACCCTTTGTTTGGGTTTGGTTTTGTTGCATCGGGTATTAGCGCACTTGGGAATGTTTGCACAATCATTTTTTTTAAACTGTTTTTCAGAACTCTGAGAGGCTTTGGTTTTTGTTTCAAATCCATCATATGTAGTTATTACTACTATTGTGTTGCTCTGATAGCAACAAAGTGGTAGAACTCTAAATGTACAAAATAGGAGGTTTGTTGCAATAAACCTAAATGTTCAACATTGAAGACCGTATTAAAAAAAGAGAGTTGCTTTCACATAGTTTGCATTGTATGATTCAGTGTCTTTAAATTTTGGGTTTATTTGAAAGAGAGAGAGAGAAATCTTCTATCTGCTGATTCATTCCCCAAATGCCCACAACATCCAGGACTGGGCCAGGCTGAAGCTGGATGCCAAGAACTCAATCCAGTTGTCCCACTTAGTTGCAGCAACCAGGTACTTGAGCTGTCACCTGCTGCCTCTAGGGTACACATTTGTCGGAAGGTACAATTGGGAGTAGAGCCAGGACTCAAGGCCAGGCACTGCAGTATCTGGTGTGGACATCCCAAGTGGTGTCATAACCACGACACCAGACACTCACCCCGACCTGATTTTTATTAGAAGATCTAGAAGTATTTGTCACAGAATAGGAAGATATTCTGTATTGGTTCTGTGTGTGTATATATGAAGTTTTTTTTGGGTTTTCTTAGTTTTCAGTCAAAAATTCAATTTTTTATGAAAGGAAAAGTAAGGAAGACTACAAAGAAATAACCATAAAGCTCTAGAATTTTAGAGACTTTTCTAATTACCTCTCTGGTAACATTTTCATAAGTTTATACATTTTGCAAATTGAACAAGATAGTGTTTTGTACGCCACTTCATATAATATTTGTGCATATCCTATATACATTCTGTAATCATTATGATTCTTTATTGTTGGAACTGTGGCTAGATTTCAGTGATCTCACAAGTGTTGGATATTTAGAGTGTCTCAATAGGTTTGAAGTTCTGAGCAGCACAAAGTGGGAATAATTGGATGAAAATGAGCTACATATGGGCCGGCGCTGCGGCTCACTAGGCTAATCCTCTGCCTGCGGCGCTGGCACACCGGGTCTAGTCCTGGTTGGGGCGCCAGATCCTGTCCAGCTCTTTGCTGTGGTCTGGGAGTACAGCGGAGGATGGCCCAAATACTTGGGCCCTGCACCCACATGGGAGACCAGGAGAAGCACCTGGCTCCTGGCTTCGGATCAGTGCAGCGCACCAGCCATAGCAGTCATTAGGGGGTGAACCAACAGAAAAGGAAGACCTTTCTCTCTGTCTCTCTCTCTCACTGTCCACTCTGCCTGTCAAAATAAAGAAAGAAAGAAAGAAAATGAGCTACATAGAGCAAAAAAAGTTGAGGAGAAACCCCCTTATGTCTAAAAATATTTCTGGGGATATTCATTTCCAATCAAATCATCATTTCAGCTAACTTGCTTTGGACCAAATAACTTCTTGCTAAGTCGATTTTATCAAACTGAATGAGTAAACATAAAATGCTCTCAGTTACTCACTACACATGGTTGATGTGATTTGAATGCTTGGAAGTTCTTGGGAAGGTTGACTTCATGCTGCAGGGGGAGAGGGAGCATCACTCTTTCTTTTATTTGCTTAGCAATCTTTTTTTTTTTTTTTTTTTTTGACTGGCAGAGTGGATAGTGAGAGAGAGAGACAGAGAGAAAGGTCTTCCTTTGCCATTGGTTCACTCTCCAATGGCCGCCACGGCTGGCACGCTGCAGCCAGCACACCGCGCTGATCTGAAGGCAGGAGCCAGGTGCTTCTCCTGGTCTCCCATGGGGTGCAGGGCCCAAGTACTCGGGCCATCCTCCACTGCACTCCCGGGCCACAGCAGAGAG